GGTCCCAGCTGCCTTGAGATCATTGACAAGATCCTCCCATGTAGTTCTGGGCTGATTCCTCACCATTCGCATGATCATTGCAACTCCACGAGGTGAGATCTTGCATGGAGCCCCAGGCCGAGGGAGATTGACAGTTCTTTTGTGTTTCTTCCATTTGCGAATAATCCCGCCAACTGTTGTCACCTTCTCACCAAGCTGCTTGGCGATGGTCTTGTAGCCCATTCCAGCCTTGTGTAGGTCTACAATCTTGTCCCTGACATCCTTGGAGAGCTCTTTGGTCTTGGCCATGGTGGAGAGTTTGGAATCTGATTGATTGATTGCTTCTGTGTACAGGTGTCTTTTATACAGGTAACAAACTGAGATTAGGAGCACTCCCTTTAAAAGTGTGCTCCTAATCTCAGCTCGTTACCTGTATAAAAGACACCTGGGAGCCAGAAATCTTTCTGATTGAGAGGGGGTCAAATACTTATTACCCTCATTAAAATGCAAATCAATTTATAACATTTTTGACATGCGTTTTTCAGGATTTTTTGTTGTTGTTATACTGTCTCTCACTGTTCAAATAAACCTACCATTAAAATGATAGACTGATCATTTCTTTGTCAGTGGGCAAACGTACAAAATCAGCAGGGGATCAAATACTTTTTTCCCTCACTGTACGAACAGATGGAGACAGATCCACAGTCCCCTCCCCGATTTCATTGTCCACAGTCCCCTCCCCGATTTCACAATTAAGGACATGTATATATTTAGGTTAGACAAGGTTCATTCCAACACCCAGGTCTGGTGTTGGAATGATCTCCAACACCAGACCTGGGTAGTAGAACACAGAGTGTGGAATGATCTCCAACACCAGACCTGGGTAGTAGAACACAGAGTGTGGAATGACCTCCAACACCAGACCTGGGTAGTAGAACACAGAGTGTGGAATGATCTCCAACACCAGACCTGGGTAGTAGCACACAGAGTGTGGAATGATCTCCAACACCAGACCTGGGTAGTAGAACACAGAGTGTGGAATGACCTCCAACACCAGACATGGGTAGTAGAACACAGAGTGTGGAATGATCTCCAACACCAGACCTGGGTAGTAGAACACAGAGTGTGGAATGATCTCCAACACCAGACCTATATACAGTGGGGAGAACAAGTATTTGATACACTGCCGATTTTGCAGGTTTTCCTACTTACAAAGCATGTAGAGGTCTGTAATTTTTATCATAGGTACACTTCAACTGTGAGAGACGGAATCTAAAACAAAAATCCAGAAAATCACATTGTATGATTTTTAAGTAATTAATTTGCATTTTATTGCATGACATAAGTATTTGATCACCTACCAACCAGTAAGAATTCCGGCTCTCACAGACCTGTTTTTCTTTAAGAAGCCCTCCTGTTCTCCACTCATTACCTGTATTAACTGCACCTGTTTGAACTGGTTACCTGTATAAAAGACACCTGTCCACACACTCAATCAAACAGACTCCAACCTCTCCACAATGGCCAAGACCAGAGAGCTGTGTAAGGACATCAGGGATAAAATTGTAGACCTGCACAAGGCTGGGATGGGCTACAGGACAATAGGCAAGCAGCTTGGTGAGAAGGCAACAACTGTTGGCACAATTATTAGAAAATGGAAGAAGTTCAAGATGACGGTCAATCACCCTCGGTCTGGGGCTCCATGCAAGATCTCACCTCGTGGGGCATCAATGATCATGAGGAAGGTGAGGGATCAGCCCAGAACTACACGGCAGGACCTGGTCAATGACCTGAAGAGAGCTGGGACCACAGTCTCAAAGAAACCATTAGTAACACACTACGCCGTCATGGATTAAAATCCTGCAGCGCACGCAAGGTCCCCCTGCTCAAGCCAGCGAATGTCCAGGCCCGTCTGAAGTTTGCCAATGACCATCTGGATGATCCAGAGGAGGAATGGGATAAGGTCATGTGGTCTGATGAGACAAAAATATAGCTTTTTGGTCTAAACTCCACTCGCCGTGTTTGGAGGAAGAAGAAGGATGAGTACAACCCCAAGAACACCATCCCAACCGTGAAGCATGGAGGTGGAAACATCATTCTTTGGGGATGCTTTTCTGCAAAGGGGACAGGACGACTGCACCGTGTTGAGGGGAGGATGGATGGGGCCATGTATCGCGAGATCTTGGCCAACAACCTCCTTCCCTCAGTAAGAGCATTGAAGATGGGTCGTGGCTGGGTCTTCCAGCATGACAACGACCCGAAACACACAGCCAGGGCAACTAAGGAGTGGCTCCGTAAGAAGCATCTCAAGATCCTGGAGTGGCCTTTCCAGTCTCCAGACCTGAACCCAATAGAAAATCTTTGGAGGGAGCTGAAAGTCTGTATTGCCCAGCGACAGCCCCGAAACCTGAAGGATCTGGAGAAGGTCTGTATGGAGGAGTGGGCCAAAATCCCTGCTGCAGTGTGTGCAAACCTGGTCAAGACCTACAGGAAATGTATGATCTCTGTAATTGCAAACAAAGGTTTCTGTACCAAATATTAAGTTCTGCTTTTCTGATGTATCAAATACTTATGTCATGCAATAAAATGCAAATGAATTACTTAAAAATCATGCAATGTGATTTTCTGTATTTTTGTTTTAGATTCCGTCTCTCACAGTTGAAGTGTACCTATGATAAAAATTACAGACCTCTACATGCTTTGTAAGTAGGAAAACCTGCAAAATTGGCAGTGTATCAAATACTTGTTCTCCCCACTGTACATGCAGGAGATCCAGGAAGGAAAGATAGTGATGACGCTCAGTGACGTTGTTGTAAATGGTGGGGAATAACCAATCAGCTGTGAACGATTTAGCATGCTCGAGACAACCATGGTGAATGTGACTGCAGGCTACATCAAGTGTTCCAATGGCAAAACGTTTGATTTAATTACATCAAGTGTTCCAATTATAAAACGTTTGATTTAATTACACCAAGTGTTCCAATGGTAAAATGTTTGATTTAATTACATCAAGTGTTCCAATGGTAAAACATTAGAGGAAATTACATTACATTTTAGTCATTTAGCAGACACTCTTATCCAGAGCGACTTACAGTTAGTGAGTGCATACATTATTATTATTATTTTCTTTTTTCATACTGGCCCCCCGTGGGAAACAAACCCACAACCCTGGCGTTGCAAACGCCATGCTCTATTAACTGAGCTGCCACATCCCTGCCGGCCATTCCCTCCCCTACCCTGGACCAATTGTGTGCCGCCCGGTCGCGGCCGGCTACGACAGAGCCTGGATTCGAAATTACATCAAGTGTTCCAATGGTAAAACGTTGACAATGATTTCACGAGGCCTATTTCATATGATATGCCTAAGTGCTTATAACCACTAGGCTAATATATAAACATGTTTTTCTTTCGATTATCAAGTTATCCCTTTGGAGCGCAACATCATCACGTTGTTAAAAAACTAAACAGGTGGGGTATTAGGAGGGTTCTGAAAGACACTATGGGGGTATCCACTGAAAGTTGACTAGCAACAACAACTGGGACCTAAAAGACACTCACCAGGAGACCCACTAAATCTGCCCAAGAAGAGGCAAACAATAGAAAAACCCACACCAAACTTAAGCGCAAGTGTAACCCATACTAACGAGGTGACACCAATCGGTGCGCCCTACGTGCTAACGAGCTATACATCCAACCTCAAAATATCAAATTGAAAAACCAAAACCTGTAACACTAGTAGCTAGCTAACAAACTACAGAGGTGTTGTTCCCACCCTGCCCATATACTCAACCTACTCTGTAAACTAATGATCTAGCTAACAAACTACAGAGGTGTTGTTCCCACCCTGCCCATATACACTCAACCTTCTCTGTAAACTAACGATCTAGCTAACAATCTACAGAGGTGTTGTTCCCACCCTGCCCATATACACTCAACCTTCTCTGTAAACTAACAATCCAGCTAACAAACTACAGAGGTGTTGTTCCCACCCTGCCCATATACACTCAACCTTCTCTGTAAACTAACGATCTAGCTAACAAACTACAGAGGTGTTGTTCCCACCCTGCCCATATACACTCAACCTTCTCTGTAAACTAACGATCTAGCTAACAAACTACAGAGGTGTTGTTCCCACCCTGCCCATATACACTCAACCTTCTCTGTAAACTAATGTGTAGATTCAAATCCTGTTTCTCTTCCATGGAGCACTTCAGATATATTCATGTGGTGTTTGTTTCATGTGATGCATTTGTTATATTCTTTACCTTTTTAGACCTGCGTGATTTTACATGATGTTACTAGTTCTGTCCAATGATTTCTATAGACACTGGATGACTGACAGCCACCTGTAGTGACCTGGTATATTTATGTTAAGTATTGTGTTTACCAGCACATGGCAGTATTGACTCAATACGGGGTTAAATATGTAGTGTCTTATGATGCTTCTTAGATTAAAGACCCCTGTAGCTCAGTTGGTAGAGAATGGCGCTTGCAACGCCAGGGTTGTGGGTTCGTTTCCCATCGGGGGCCAGTATGAAAATGTATGCACTCACTAATTGTAAGTCGCTCTGGATAAGACCGTCTGCTAAATGACTAAAATGTAAATGTAAACAAGACAGACATACAACCTATAAATCTGCTATTGAATTTGCAATGATATCATACTGTTCCCGTAATACAAAACCTACTTTGAGAGATAAGAACTATGGTGCATACTTAAACAACATGCAAATTAAGGAGAGAATTTAATGCAGAAATATGTGTTGCACAAAAACAGCACTGGATGCCATAGAAATCCCATTTCACAATTCTAATTAGAAAGAAATATATGGGTAATGCTGCCTTATTACATAATGTAATGTACATAATACAGTAATACACCCATCTCTATATACCAGAAATGGTCACCAAGAAACGATAAGGAGCAGCATGGCTTGCCAGCATTGATGTGCTGGTTGGACTACTAGGCCTACAGTAGCCTGGTGGTCCCAGATCTGTTTATGCTGTCTTGCCAACTCTTATAAACAATTCCATTGGAGTTGGCAAGACGGCCCACACAGATCTGGGCCCACCAGGCTACTACTACTACTACTACTACTACTATAGTACTTCCTGCCTACTAGGGCAAGTCCAGTATATTGTTCTGGACATAGAGGTCCTCTGTCACTTGGTACACCTCAGAGATGAGAGGCAGGGCATCCCCTAGCATGGCCACTACCTGCTCTGGGGTGCCTACATTCATCACATCAAAGAACGTAGCACGCCCTGGGAGAGCCCAGAAAGCTGTACCGGCAGCCTTGCGGATGATCCATGCATGGTGTTGGGAGAGGGACTCATTATAGGCCTCAGAGCACATGACCGAGGTCTTGCTTTCCTCAGTGCTGGTGCGCAGCCGCTCCAGAAAGAGCTCCAGCCAGCGCAGGGCACGATGCAGCCTCAGGAGGGTGCGGCAGCCGGACTCTGGGAAGCTGCCTCTCTTAGTCAGGTCCACCAGTTGGTTGTCCAGTTCGTATTTGACCATAGACTGGACGGTGACATAGTGGGCCCCATTCTCACCTTTCAGATGGTTGATCAGGATTTGGATCTTGTTGACAGCATCCTTGGCGATGAAGGAGAACACACTCCCCAGGCTGTTCATGAATCTGGATACAAAGGACAATAAACACATTTAACACAACATATAAAAGCTTTCAAATATTTCATTATGCTAAATTGAGACAACCAGAATAATTTCAGGGGTTGACATTAAAGTCTGAAAGGCACATGCCCATAGGGCAAATTAGGAGTATTTTTTGGTTGCCTCGAAGATTATGATCACTTACCCGAAAATGTAAAAATAGCTAGTTACACGCAGAAGTGTCATAATGCCTGCCTTTCATCTACACATAAGGGAGGAATCAGAAAGATCAGTACTGGAATTGTGTATTTTAGTTGCTATCAGTAAAAACAAAAAATCTCTGAGCAGACTCAACTTGCCCGGGTTGGCTGAAACATCACGAAAAGGATGCATGCGCATTGATGTGGCCGGAAGGCGTGCGTTCTTACGATTCTGAATGGTCAGATAGCTAGCAACAATGACAAGAAGCTGCCATGTAGGAAATCGTAGGTGGCTCGTTTCAACTCGTGGCTTGTTATTGATACCATGTCTTGTTTTGAGGTGTTTTGACTGATGTCATGTCTATGCTAATATGGCTCAAATTTGCTAGCTAGCTAACCAACAACTGTAAAGATGTATTTGAGAAGAAAGTGCTCATTGTGCAAATGTATTTATGTTTTCAATAAACATTTGGAGACTACAAATACAGTTGACATGTTATCAACAGTCAACACCAACCCCTGTCTGTTTTGCCCCAGAGTTGTGCATGCATCAGTTTTGTTGCTAAACAACCAACCAGTCTATAAATACCATATATTGTCTGTCTTTCAATTAAAAAATGGTGAGGAACCAGAAATATCAGTCTTAGGTTGCTGGAATTGTTTGCAGTTTGGTTGTTTTGTCTTTTAAAAAATTAACATGCACAATGGGGCAACCTCTGAGCAGGCTCAACTTGTGCAAGTACTCAGTTCACTTGCCCCAGGCAATAGGGCAACCCTTAAAGCTACAAGTCCTTAGTTGCTACATCCATTTTTTTTGAATAATTAATTAAAGACATATACCCATTGATGCGTCATGAGCTTAGTTCAACTGTTGTAGCATCAGAACCTAAACATAAGCTTGTTTTACTCCAATGTTTGCAAACAAACACTGTAGTTATAGGCCCAAAACATAGTTAAAACTATAATGTTGATATCAGAGATGGTCAATCCTTGCATCAATAGCTCTGTCTACGAATTTGATTGTGGTAACATTTCTCCAGGCCAATCCCTCAGCTTCTTACCAAAACAAAGTCTTGTAAACGCGTTGTTATTGTTTTAACCAAGGATTCTAACTTTAATGTCAATCCCTGTAATGTACATATCAGATTTTTTTGTTTAAGTACATCTAACTAGATTATGTGAACTCAATGACGTGTCAGCTGTTTGTTTAATGTTAGCCCAGTCCAGGGCTAGTTCCCTAGTTAGCTAAGAATCTAGGCTAGCATAGATTTAAACGACTTACCTTACAAGACCAAGCCACCCTGCTACATAATGTTCGAGGAATACTTCTTTGTTTTCAGATAGGCATGACTTAAAAGTGTCAAGAACCTCTTGTAAAGTGAATTTCGGATCCTCTACCGCTACAGAATCGGCCATGGCTACCCGGAAGTACGTCGAAAAATAATAAATGAATGGGTGCAGCAATTTTACAATCTTGTTTACTTGCTAATACAGATCTTCATATGAATGTTTTATATTCAACCTGTGTGCATCCTTAATAACCAGTTATTATTAGAATTGCTAACCGTACTTGCAAACTCTGTCGTCCCACCGAAGTACTGAGTTTCCACTAGTTTCTTATCAACAAAGTCAGATTCCACAGCCACAAAGTCAGAATTGGCAACAACAAAAAATTGGTTAGGGTTATTCATACGGTTAGTAGTGTGGTTAGGTTTAAAATCAAATTTTAAGAAGAGAAAATGTGCGGGGTTTATCAGGCTATTGAAGACCAAAACACTGCGTCGCAGTCTGCGAACCGCCCTGCGCAGGTCCGAAGTTCGTGAGCACTGCAGTTGCACATCCTCGTCGATTGGTGGCGATAATGGTGGGTGAAGAGCGCGTTGGAACAAACAATAGAAGGGCCACTGCTAGCCAGCAGCAACACACGCTGCTAACCCATCTTTCTAAAACAAAACTGCTTCTTGCAGCCATCTAGCGAGCTAAATAATTTGTTTGCAGGGAAGGCTTTGTCCATCATAATTTAGCCGCTACGTTAGCTAGCCAACTACTTTTCGACCACTTCTATTAGTGTAAACACCCAGCCAGGATGCCTGAGATAAAAGTGACACCACTGGGTAAGTCAACAATTCTTCAAAATACGAAATATAGCTAGCTACGAACTTTTGAGCACTTTGTTTACCGCCAGACTAGCTAACGTTAACTCTCCTATTGCCTGTGATTCCACCACAGTTTCTAAACCGTCTTTGATTTCACACTCATATTCGAAAGGGGCAACCTCCTCTTCTTTGAGGTTTAACGGCGGTTGGCATCCAATAAATGTTGCATTACTGCCACCTACTAGACTGGAGTATAACTCCCTTATACTTCGCTTTAAAAAAAGAAAAAATACAACAAATACCCTATCATCTAATACTACACTCACTAAAAAAAAACTACCATACTCCACTTTAAATCTATTTATTCCTACTTCAGGCCAACAGCCTGAAGGAATGGGACACCACCCCTTAACACACCATGTAACTTTTCTGACAAAGTCTCGCACACCCAAATACCTCTCTGCAGCTGCCACCACAACCTCTATTTTCTGCGACTTACGTTCCACCCCTGCAGTACAGTTGATAACCATTGCTATAAATGCCAAAAATCCAATCATACTGAAACATATATCTCTTGTTGGTTTATCCCTATGTACTGGTATATCTCTACTACTCACACCATTTCTCTCAGGATCCCTCCCCCTTGGCCCATCTTCCTCTACTTTCTTCGCTGCCTCCGCATATGACAACTTCTTCTCTACTCTTACCCTGGATACCTCAACCTGCTTCTCTCGCACTGGACATGTCTGATCCCCAGCCCCATGGTCACTCCTACAATTAGCACACACCACCACTTTCCCCACTGCTTCACACTCCTTTGTCTCATGCCCTTCTGCACACTTCTCACACCTTGGAATCTCCCTCCTACACACTGCTGCCACATGCCCATAAGTTTGACACCTGTAACATCTTAAGGTATTCGGCACATATGCTCACACTGGATAACTTATATATCCTAACCTCACTTTCTCAGGCAAAGACTCAACTTCAAAACTCAAAAGAACAGACAATGACTCTTCTGTTTCCCCACTCTCGCCACCCTGTTTACATCGCACCAAACGACGAGCTTCCCACACACCGGGAATCATCTCCTTCAGTTGGTCAACTTTTACATTCACTGCTACTCCAGTAATCACTCCTCTCAATGGCACCCTTTTCTTAAGAGCGAAACAATTCACAATTCTTTCTCCCATTTGTTTAACTCTGAGCGCCTTCTCCCTCTGCCCAACAGAAACACAAACAATTATCACTAGACCACTTCTGGTTACCCTCACCGATTCCACTTTACCCAACGCTCTTTTCACCCATCTTGAAACCACAATTGGATCAGCCAAAAGGCAAGGATCCATTTTTCCCACAAACTTCACTCCTACTGTCACAGACTCATCTTTATCCTGACCCGCTGTGCAATCCTCGGGCTCCGAGTACTTCACCACACCTTCCACCTCCGATACATCACCCTCATTCACTTCCATTTCTACTCCTGTCTTCAGCTCACTTTGCTTACATTTCCTACCACTCTTCTTTAACAAACCTTCTCCCTTTTTCCCGCCATTTTTAACTGACTCAAACTCACAATCTTCCTCCCTCTCTTAGACCTCCTCTTCCTCTCTTTTTCCCTCCATTCCTCCTCATTCATCCAAGTATCATCCCTTATGATAATACTGCATTTCTCCAAACCTATATTTGTTTCTTGCCTTCTCTAAGGACTCCATTTTCCCCCTCCTTTCCCTTCCAGCGTCTATTCTATCCTCGGCCTTGACCTCTTCATTGCTCTCCTCTTCTGATCTGCTGTCCTCCTCTCCTGAATCACCCTCGTCTTCCGACCCCTCATCCGAGCTGTTATCCTCACTATCATCGGGACTTACTCCCTTTCCAACTGCTCGTCTTTTCGCTGAAGACGCCATGCTCCACCCCCTTCCTAATTTAAACTATGAACCTTCGCCTCTGACCCAACCTTCAATCCTCCAATCCATCGTCAACCTTAGCCCATGCCTTTTACCAGGGGCAACCTCTGCTTCTTCTTCTATGATAGAAAACATCCTGTGGCGTACTGCATTAGCATCAAATAGCCCCCGCGATATGCAACTTTTCAGGGAAGTTAGGAACCAATACACACAAGCAGTTAGGAAAGCAAAGGCTAACTTTTTCAAACAGAAATTTGCATCCTGTAGCACTAACTCCAAAAAGTTTTGGGACACTGTAAAGTCCATGGAAAATAAGAGCACTTCCTCCCAGCTGCCCACTGCACTGAGGCTAGGAAACACTATCACCACCGATAAATCTACAATAATCGAGAATTTCAACAAGCATTTTGCTACGGCTGGCCATGCTTTCCACCTGGCTACCACTACCCCGGCCACCAGCTCTGCACCCTCCGCTGCAACTTGCCCATGCCCCCCCCCCCGCTTCTCCTTCACACAAATCCAGACAGCTGATGTTCTAAAAAAGCTGCAAAATCTGGACCCCTACAAATCATCTGGGCTAGACAATCTGGACCCTTTCTTTCTAAAACTAGCCGCCGAAATTGTCGCAACCCCTATTACTAGCCTGTTCAACCTCTCTTTCGTAACGTCTGAGATCCCCAGAGATTGGAAAGCTGCCGCGGTCATCCCCCTCTTCAAAGGGGGTGACACTCTAGATCCAAACTGTTACAGACCCATATCCATCCTGCCCTGCCTTTCAAAAGTTTTTGAAAGCCAAGTCAACAAACAGATCACCGACCATTTCGAATCCCACCGTACCTTCTCCGCTATGCAATCCGGTTTCCGAGCTGGTCATGGGTGCACTTCAGCCACGCTCAAGGTCCTAAACGATATTATAACCGCGATCGATAATAGACAGTACTGTGCAGCCGTTTTCATTGACCTGGCCAAGGCTTTCGACTCTGTCAACCACCGCATTCTTATTGGCAGACTAAATAGCCTTGGTTTCTCAAATGACTGCCTCGCCTGGTTCACCAACTACTTCTCAGATAGAGTTCAATGTGTCAAATCGGAGGGCCTGTTGTCTGGACCTATGGCAGTCTCTATGGGGGTGCCACAGGGTTCAATTCTTGGGCCGACTCTTTTCTCTGTGTATATCAATGACGTCGCTCTTGCTGCTGGTGACTCTCAGATCCACCTCTACGCAGACGACACCATTTTGTATACATCTGGCCCATTCATTGGACACTGTGTTAACAAACCTCCAAACGAGCTTCAATTCCATACAACACTCCTTCAGTAGCCTCCAACTGCTCTTAAACACTAGTAAAACTAAATGCATGCTCTTCAACCGAACGCTGCTTGCACCCGCCCACCCGACTAGAATCACTACTCTCGACGGGTCTGACCTAGAGTATGTGGACAACTACAAATATCTAGGTGTCTGGTTAGACTGTAAACTCTCCTTCCAGACTCGCATTACGAATCTCCAATCCAAAGTTAAATCTAGAATCGGTTTCCTATTTCGCAACAAAGCCTCCTTCACTCATGCTGCCAATCATGCCCTCGTAAAACTGACTATCCTACCGATCCTTGACTTCGGCGATGTCATTTACAAAATAGCCTCCAACACTCTACTCAGCAAATTGGATGTAGTCTATCACAGTGCCATCCGTTTTGTCTCCAAAGCCCCATATAATACCCACCACTGTGACCTGTACGCTCTTGTTGGCTGGTCCTCACTACATATTCGTCGCCAAACCCACTGGCTCCAGGCCATCTATAAATCACTGCTAGGCAAATCCCCACCTTATCTTAGCTCATTGGTCACCATAGCAACACCCACCCGTAGTCTGCGCTCCAGCGGGTATATCTCACTGGTCATCCCCAAAGCCAACACCTCCTTTGGCCGCAATTCCTTCCAGTTCTCTGCTGCCAATGACTGGAACAAATTGCAAAAATCTCTGAAGCTGGAGACACTTATCTCCCTCAGTAACTTTAAGCATCAGTTGTCAGAGCACCTTACCGATCACTGCACCTGTACACAGCCCATCTGAAATTAGCCCGCCCAACTACCTCATCCCTATATTGTTATTTATTTTGCTCATTTGTACCCCAGTATCTCTATTTGCACATCATCTCTTGCACATCTATCATTCCAGTGTTAATACTAATTGTAATTATTTTGCACTATAGCCTATTTTATTGCCTTACCTCCATAACTTGCTAAATTTGCACACACTGTATATATATGTATTTCTGTTGTATTTTTGACTTTGTTTTGTTTTACCCCATATGTAACTCTGTGTTGTTGTTTTTATCGCACTGCTTTGCTTTATCTTGGCCAGGTCGCAGTTGTAAATGAGAACTTGTTCTCAACTGGTTTACCTGGTTAAATAAAGGTAAAATAAATAAAAAAAATAGAATGGCGGTCTGCAAACCAACGTTAAAGGTGCATGCCGCCACCTACTGTGCTGGAGTGTGTGGTCAATCACTGTTTACAACATTTCTAAATCCTCCTACCTAACTCAGTGGCAACCTCTGCTAGAGCACAGATGATTTTGTATCATTTTTTTTGTTAACTAAATTAGACTATTTTTATGGGTGTAAGATGGCACGAACAAGACTGGTTACTCGCATCAATGACTCTGTCTCGTTGTTTAACATCCAAACACCTCTCTCATTGACCTCCACCGACAGCGTCTTTACGCAACATATTACGCAGTATAATCTAGCTATGTGTGCAACAAAAATTAAACATACACTTTCTGCAACCATTTCTGTCAAGCCGACTACGCATACAGTTTGACGCAGACGTTCGATAAATCCAACGAATGCACCACACAGAACGCACTACAACTGCCTCGGCAACGCAATGCTGCAAGGCAAACGCAGCGTTCCATTGGAAATGAATGTACTTCTGGTGTACCAAAATGCAATGACATTGTCCGTGTGAATGACAGTGGTGGAAAACGTACCCAATTGTCATACTTGAGTAAAAGTATAGATACCTTAATAGAAAGTTACTCAAGTGAAAGTCAGACAGTAAAATAGTACTTGAGTAAAAGTCTAAAAGTAATTGGTTTTAAATATACTTAAGTATCAAAAGTAAATGTAATTGCTAAAATATACTTAAGTATCAAAAGGAAAAGTATAAATCATTTAAAATTCCTTATATTAAGCAAAGCAGACAGCTCCATTGTCTTGTTTTTAAAATTTACAGATAGCCAGAGGCACAATCCAACACTCAGACATTATTTACAAAAGATGCATTTGTATTTAGTGAGTCCACCAGGCCAGAGGCAGTAGGGATGACCACGTGTTCTCTTGATAAGTGCGCGAATTTGACAATTGTCCTGTCCTACTAAGCATTCAAAATGTAATGAGTACTTTTGGTTGTCAGGGAAAATGGATGGAGTAAAAAGTACATAATTATCTTTAGGAATGTAGTGAAGTAAAAGGAAAAGTTGTCAAAAATATAAATAGTAAAGTAAAGTACAGATACCCCAAACAACTACTTAAGTAGTAATTTTACTGAAGTACTTTACACCACTGGTGATCGAGGCGTTATGCCTCGATCACACCGACAGTGTAATTGCATTTTGGTATCAAAATGCAATGACGCTAGTTTTGGTTCGTCGTCTAGTGCAGATTATCCGACGCATGCGCTCTGGACATTCAATCTTAATGGTCAGTTGCCACCACTTTTGACAAATCAGTAACGTTATGGATGAGATGTTCATGTTTGTACCTCGTCCTCCTGTCCCTACTCAGGTGCTGGACAAGATGTTGGCCGCAGCTGCATCCTTGTCTCGATTGGTGGCAAAAATGTTATGCTTGATTGTGGGATGCACATGGGTTTCAATGATGATGTAAGTAGCTTCATGATTCTCAATGTCACTGTCCCATTATGCTATTCCGATAATCTTTTGGTATTTTTGATGTTCCATTATTGTGCCATTGTTGTCTTTCCAGAGACGATTCCCAGATTTCTCCTACATAACACAACAAGGACGCCTGACAGAATTCTTGGACTGTGTGATTATCAGGTTTGTGGTCTTTACGGCACTTAGCTATACCTAGGTACTACTCTTTTGCAAGAGAAACAACATCAGACACACACAGAAAGAGCTTTCTCCCTCTCAAGGGCATTCTATCTTTGATCTTTTAATTGATTTATCTTCTGTCTTTTAATTGATTAATCATACTAACTCTCCTCCTAGTCATTTCCACCTGGACCACTGTGGTGCTCTGCCATACATGAGTGAAATGGTGGGCTACGATGGGCCCATCTACATGACCCACCCCACCAAGGCCATCTGCCCCATCCTACTGGAGGACTTCAGGAAGATCACCGTGGACAAGAAGGGTGAGACCAACTTCTTCACATCCCAGATGATCAAGGACTGCATGAAGAAAGTAGTCCCTTTGAACCTCCACCAGACCGTCCAGGTATACAGTCCTGAAATACCTTTTAATTGCTAATGTCTGGTATTAGAAGTACTCCAAGGGTAGCCTGGTTCCAGATCTATTTGTGCTATCTTGCCAACTCCCATGGTCGTTGTTTGGTATGACAATTTTAATTTGACCATAGCAGTCGGCAAGACAGAACAAACAGACCTGGGAGCAGGCTACTCCAAGGGTATAACATAAAATTCATTACTATCTCCATAATGGCCAAGAAACCACATTTGAGGTAGTATTGCTGTATGGAATGATGTATTAAGTTGATTCTGTCATGGTGTCTTAGGTGGACGATGAGCTGGAGATCAAGGCTTACTATGCAGGCCACGTCCTGGGAGCTGCTATGGTGCAGATCAAAGTAGGATCAGAGTCAGTGGTCTACACTGTGAGTATTAGCCTATTAAGAGAACTGGGCTTATTATTGATCAGTGCATGAATCATGCGATTGCCTTGAAGTAACTTATCCTTAATTGCATTTGCAGGGTGACTATAACATGACGCCAGACAGACATTTAGGGTAAGTGGTAAATTATCTTGTGTTGTGTGTAATAGTCCCGTGTAGCTCAGTTGGTAGAGCATGGCGCTTGCAACGCCAGGGTTGTGGGTTCGATTCCCACGGGGGTACCAGTATGAAAATGTATGCACTCACTAACTGTAAGTCGCTCTGGATAAGAGCGTCTGCTAAATGACTAAAATGTAAAAAATTTAATAGGGGTGTGAACGTTAAAACGTTTAAACGAAGTTGGGATCCTTAACGTTAAGAAAAATCCCTAACATAATTAAAATCAGTGCAGTTATCACAAAACATATTATTTTATGAACTAGACAATAGGCTATAAAGGCCTGGGTAAAGCTGTGTAATTTATACTGAACAAAAATATAAATGCAACATGTAAAGTGTTGGTCCCATGTTTCATGAACCGAAATAAAAGATCCCAAAGAAATTTCAGGCGCACAAAAAGCCTATTTCTCTAAAATGTTGTGCACAAATGTATTTACATGCTGGTTAGTGAGCATTTCTCCTTTCCCCAAAAAAATTAATTCACCTGACGGGTGTGGCATATCAAGAAGCTGATTAAATTGTGCTGGGGACAATAAAAGGCCACTCTAAAATATGCAGTTTTGTCAAACAACACAATGCCAACAGATGTCTCAAGTTTTGAGGGAGCGTGCAATTGGCATGCTGACTGCAGGAATGTCCACCAGAGCTGTTGCGAGAGAATTGAATGTTAATTTCTCTACCATAAGCCGTTTTAGAGAATTTGGCAGTGCATCCAACCGGCCTCACAACCGCAGACCACGTGTAACCATGCCAGCCCAGGACCTCCACATCCGGCTTCTTCACCGGCAGGATCGTCTGAGACCAGCCACCCGGACAGCTGATGAAGCTGGGTTTGCACAACCCAAGAACTCTGCACAAACTGTCAGAAACTGTCTCAGGGAAGCTCATCTGTGTGCTCGTCGTCCTCACCAGTGTCTTGACCTGACTGCAGTTTGGCGTTGTAACCGACATCAGTTGGCAAATGCTCATCTTCGATGGCCACTGGCATGCTGGATAAGTGTGCTCTTCACGGATAAATCCTGGTTTCAGCTGTACCGGGCAGACGTGTGGGCGAGCGGTTTGCTGATGTCAACATTGTGAACAGAGTGCCCCATGTTGGCGGTGTGGTTATGGTATGGGCAGGCATAAGCTACGGACAACGAGCACAATTCCATTTTATCGATGGAAATTTGAATTCACAGAGATACTGTGACGAGATCCTGAGGTCCATTGTCGTGCCAACTCTGTGTAAAGGAGATGTGTCGCGCTGCATGAGGCAAATGGTGGTCACACCAGATACTGACTGGTTTTCTGATCTACGCCCTTACCTTTTTTTGTTAAAGTTATCTTTGACCAACAGATGCATATCTATATTCCCAGTCATGTGGTGAAATCCATAGATTAGGGCCTAATGAATTTAATTTGATTGACTGATTTCCTTATATGAACTGTAATTCAGTAAAATCGTTGAAATTGTTGCATGTTATGTTTTTGTTCGGTATAGATTTATTCAACACACTGGGTGTTGCAGCTGCAAAAGCACACATACAATTCACACAAGCATATGTTTACACCTTCCGATTAGGCGGAGTTCTTGTATTTCTAGGATAAACAATCAGTCTCTGTTGCTAGGCAAGAACTGAGTCTGTTCCTCCTATTGATGTGATTGTGGATCCAGAACCTTCATGGGCAGGGATGAGTGTGTGTTTGATAAGACACATTAGGAATGTGACCAAAATAGCTTTTTACCACATGAGGAACATTGCCAAGGTGCAAACGTTTCTATCTCAGGCTGATACAGAGGGACTCATCCATGCGCTTATTACAAGCAGGCTTGACTACTGTAATGCTCTCCTGTCTGGTCTACCCAAGAAAGCCATTGGTCAACTGCAAAACATACAGAATGCTGCAGCACGGGTACTGACCAGACAGAGAGCACACATTACACCGGTTTTAAAGTCTCTGCACTAGCTGCCTGTGAGAATACATTTAAAGATTCTTCTATTGGTTTTTAAATCAATCCACGATTGTGCACCCCAATACATATCAGACATGCTTTTGAGTTATGTACCCAGTAGGTCCCTCAAGTTCTCTGGCACTGGCCTTTTAACTATCCCAAAGCCTAGGACAAAGAGGCATGGAGAGGCAGCCTTTAGTTACTATGCCCCCAGACTCTGGAATAGCCTGTCAGAGAACCTGAGTGGGGCCGAAACTGTGGACATATTTAAAAGAGATCTTAAAACACAATTTTTTAGCTCTGCTTTTCCTCAGGGTGCTTTTTAGTCTTTTAGTTTTTATTGTTATTCTTTTGTTTTTTATCCTCTTATGTTTGTTGTGTAGTAAATATTTCAGTTTTTATTGTTTTTATTAGTTTTTTCCTGTGCATTGCATTGCATTCATGTCTGAAATGTGCTACAGTGGGGAAAAAATGTATTTAGTCAGCCACCAATTGTGCAAGTTCTCCCACTTAAAAAGATGAGAGAGGCCTGTCATTTTCATCATAGGTACACGTCAACTATGACAGACAAATTGAGAAAAAAAAATCCAGAAAATCACATTGTAGGATTTTTAATGAATTTATTTGCAAATTATGGTGGAAAATAAGTATTTGGTCACCTACAAACAAGCAAGATTTCTGGCTCTCACAGACCTGTAACTTATTCTTTAAGAGGCTCCTCTGTCCTCCACTCGTTACCTGTATTAATGGCACCTGTTTGAACTTGTTATCAGTATAAAATACACCTGTCTTTATCTCCTACAGAGTGAAAGGGAATGTGGAGAATAACGGAGTACTAAAATGATGATTGGCTGCCTTCATTATCCAATCACAGTTAATTGGAGCAGTGTAGCCTCTAATTCTTCTTAAAGGAATAATGAGTCATGGTTTCACCTTTCAACTATCAGATGTCAAAACTGTTGTGTCGTACGGAAGTATCCAAGTGCACCTTAGTGTGAAGGATCAAGACAAGTCATTGACTGTTCTCTCTGCTACCGCACGGCAAGTGCCTCAATTACCTCGATTACCTCGACTAACCTGTGCCCCCGCACATTGACTCTGTACCAGTACCCTCTGTATATAGCCTCCCTACTGTTATTTTATTTTACTGCTGCTTTTTAATTATTTTGATTTTTTACTTAACACTTATTTGTCTTAAAACTGCATTGTTGGTTAAGGGCTTGTAAGTAAGCATTTCACTGTAAGGTCTACACCTGTTGTATTCGGCGTATGTTGCAAATATAATTTGATTTGATTTGATTTGCATGCCAGATGTTTGAATATACTCTACTACTCTGTTTTGCATAACAGAGGGAATCTCTCCAAGGATGATCAATGGCTGGAACAGAGCAAATGGAATGGCATTAAATACATGGAAACCATGTGTTTGATGTATTTGATATCATTCCACTAATTCCGCTCCAGCCGTTACCACGAGCGTGTCCTCCCCAATTAAGGTGCCACCAACCTCCTGTGCCTCAGACAGCCAACAGCATCTAGCTAGGTGAATGCTGTGTAAAACTTAATGGGCTTACTGAGGATGCTACAGAATATTAATTTAGCTGTTCTAATGGGAGGTGCTTTCCCACTGGGCACAGACGTCAGTTCAACGTAAATTGTTTATTCACATTTGGTTGAGTTGTCAACCAACCATAGCCGCGGGAAGTAGTTTGTGGGTGGGGGTGCTGCGATTTCTTTTGGCCGATGGGGGATGCAGAATTTTTTTGTTGTCGCCTGAGCTGAAGATATCTACACTGCTCAAAAAAATAAAGGGAACACTTAAACAACACAACGTAACTCCAAGTCAATCACACTTCTGTGAAATCAAACTGTCCACTTAGGAAGCAACACTGATTGACAATACATTTCACATGCTGTTGTGCAAATGGAATAGACAACAGGTGGAAATTATAGGCAATTAGCAAGACACCCCCAATAAAGGACTGGTTTTGCAGGTGGTGACCACAGACCACTTCTCAGTTCCTATGCTTCCTGGCTGTTGTTTTGGTCACTTTTGAATGCTGGCAGTGCTTTCACTCTAGTGGTAGCATGAGACGGAGTCTACAACCCACACAAGTGGCTCAGGTAGTGCAGCTCATCCAGGATGGCACATCAATGCGAGCTGTGGCAAGAAGGTTTGCTGTGTCTGTCAGCGTAGTGTCCAGAGCATGGACGCGCTACCAGGAGACAGGCCAGTACATCAGGAGACGTGGAGGAGGCTGTAGGAGGGCAACAACCCAGCAGCAGGACTGCTACCTCCGCCTTTGTGCAAGGAGGAGCAGGAGGAGCACTGCCAGAGCCCTGCAAAATGACCTCCAGCAGGCCACAAATGTGCATGTGTCTGCTCAAACGGTCAGAAACAGACTCCATGAGGGTGGTATGAGGGCCCGACGTCCACAGGTGGGGGTTGTGCTTACAGCCCAACACCGTGCAGGACATTTGGCATTTGCCAGAGAACACCAAGATTGGCAAATTCGCCACTGGCGCCCTGTGCTCTTCACAGATGAAAGCAGGTTCACACTGAGCAAGTGACAGACGTGACAGAGTCTGGAGACGCCTTGGAGAACGTTCTGCTGCCTGCAACATCCTCCAGCATGACCGGTTTGGCGGTGGGTCAGTCATGGTGTGGGGTGGCATTTCTTTGGGGGGCCGCACAGCCCTCCATGTGCTCGCCAGAGGTAGCCTGACTGCCATTAGGTACCGAGATGAGATCCTCAGACCCCTTGTGAGACCATATGCTGGTGCGGTTGGCCCTGGGTTCCTCCTAATGCAAGACAATGCTAGACCTCATGTGGCTGGAGTGTGTCAGCAGTTCCTGCAAGAGGAAGGCATTGATGCTATGGACTAGCCCACCCGTTCCCCAGACCTGAATCCAATTGAGAACATCTGGGACATCATGTCTCGCTCCATCCACCAACGCCACGTTGCACCACAGACTGTCCAGGAGTTGGCGGATGCTTTAGTCCAGGTCTGGGAGGAGATCCCTCAGGAGACCATGCGCCACCTCATCAGGAGCATGCCCAGACGTTGTAGGGAGGTCATACAGGCACGTGGAGGCCACACACACTACTGAGCCTCATTTTGACTTGTTTTAAGGACATTACATCAAAGTTGGATCAGCCTGTAGTGTGGTTTTCCACTTTAATTTTGAGGGTGACTCCAAATCCAGACCTCCATGGGTTGATACATTTGATTTCCATTGATAATTTTTGTGTGATTTTGTTGTCAGCACATTCAACTATGTCAAGAAAAAAGTATTTAATAAGATTATTTCATTCATTCAGATCTAGGATGTGTTATTTTAGTGTTCCCTTTATTTCTTTGAGCAGTGTATATCTGTCCATTTAATACAGGACTAGTAAAGGCCCAGTGCACTACGTTTGTGAAAATATTTGAACTAAATGTGTTATTTCAGTGTTTACCAGCATTTGTAACTTGAGTCTGATAATTAACTGTACAAAACAGTTAATCTGATAACACTTGTGGAATATAAAAATACTTGCTTGATATGTTTCCCATTGTGAAAACTGAAATTCATACCATTTCCATTTTAGCAGACACTCTTATCCAAAGCAACTTACAGTAGTGAGTGCATACATTTTCATACTGGTCCCCCATGGGATTTGAACCCACAACCATAGCATTGCAAGCGCCATGCTCTACCAACTGAGCCACATCAACACATCATCACAAACCACTTGATGTCTCAATGTACTAAATTACTGTTTTGTGCATTGTTTTGTTTCACGTGATAGAACATCTACAGGTACAAACCTAGATAACCACCCTATGTACAATACAGTAATGTACATTTACATTAAGTGGTTTGTTAGGATGGTAAATTAATGATTAGGTGGCCATGATGGCATGAGGGCCAGATTAGGAATTTAGCCAGGACACAGGGGTTAACACCCCTAATCTTAGGATAAGTGCCACGGGTTCTGTAGTGACCACAGAGAGTCAGCACTCACGTTTAACTTCCTATCCGAAAGACGGCACCCTACACAGGACAATGTCCCCTATCATTGCCCTGGGATACTTTTTTAAACCAGAGGAAAGAGTGCCTCCTACTGGCCCTCCAACAGCATCTGGTCTCCCATCCAGGACCTACCCTGCTTAGCTTCAGAGGAAAGCCAGCAGTGGGATGCAGGGTGGTATGCTGCTGGTCCTTAATTATACAACTACCTTTTTTGCCAAAGCTGATATGCTGGAGAAAAAAAATGCACGCTACAGACATCTACTGTATATCGGTCCGCTAATACTAGTAAAGGCCCAGTTGTAAAAAAAAATATTTTTTCAAAAAAATTTTTTGTATCAATATATTTTTTATTCTGATTTGTCAGGGGTACTGCAGCACCCTCAGCACCCCTACTTACCACGGCTATGCAACTAACGTGAATTCAACATGAAATTAACAAACAATTTCACCATGACATTGGCTTTAGGTTAAAAGTTTGGTGAAAAAATACTCAATTCCCTTAAGTTGATGACTTTTTGCAAATTCAATCAGTTTTCCATGTTGATTCAATGTCATCACATTTTTGCCCAGTGGGTTCTTTGTAGTGGTTCATTATTCATCATCACACAATACAGTTATTGTGAAATTATAATGATTAGAGAAATACTTTACTACGAAGATTCAGCATCCGACTACATTTGAGAATAAACTGAGAGTGAACACCTTATCAATCATTTAAATGGTAATGATAGACATCATCACTCATACACATTGGGGTATACAACATTCTTATAAGATGTGTCATGCCCTCGTGGCCTTTGTAGGTCAAGCTAGCATGCTGCTGTTTCCTTTACCAATGAAGTATGAGACCAGCCAGAGGCACTTAGCCAACATGCTAACAGCAGCCATGATTAATTCAATAGCCCCTGTTAACGTTGATTACCAAGTCTTTCACCCCACTTCTCCCTCCCTCTGTTCTATCTGCAGCGGAGGGCACTAGCTGGAGCATTGGCTACAGGAGGCAAGCCAGCAGAGAGCCTTCCCTATGAGCAAAATATGTTGAAAATACGTAGTTTTGCTCACTGAGATACATCCAAGGCCAGCACCTATAGGGACTAAATGAAAACATCAGGTTTAAATGTTTTTTTACCCAGACAACGTTGGGAATTGCTGGTAGTGTCTTTTGTGTGCACATTTCACATCTGGCTCTCTCAATTCCTGGGTGCTGCAATGTACTGACATTAAGCTATTTGTGTGTTATCGATCTACACTATATTTCTACCAACACTGTAAACTAGTACAAGGTAACGCCAATCAAATGTAAAATAAATAAGTAATGTTGAAGAGAGTGGATGATAAATGATAATTTAGTTAGATCTCCATGTACAGTGGGGAGAACAAGTATTTGATACACTGCCGATTTTGCAGGTTTTCCTACTTACAAAGCATGTAGAGGTCTGTAATTTTTATCATTTTTATCAACTGTGAGAGACAGAATCTAAAACAAAAATCCAGAAAATCACATTGTATGATTTTTAAGTAATTAATTTGCATTTTATTGCATGACATAAGTATTTGATCACTTACCAACCAGTAAGAATTCCGGCTCTCACAGACCTGTTAGTTTTTCTTTAAGAAGCCCTCCTGTTCTCCACTCATTACCTGTATTAACTGCACCTGTTTGAACTTGTTACCTGTATAAAAGACACCTGTCCACACACTCAATCAAACAGACTCCAACCTCTCCACAATGGCCAAGACCAAAGAGCTGTGTAAGGACATCAGGGATAAAATTGTAGACCTGCACAAGGCTGGGATGGGCTACAGGACAATAGGCAAGCAGCTTGGTGAGACGGCAACAACTGTTGGTGCAATTATTAGAAGTTCAAGATGACGGTCAATCACCCTCGGTCTGGGGCTCCATGCAAGATCTCACCTCGTGGGGCATCAATGATCATGAGGAAGGTGAGGGATCAGCCCAGAACTACACGGCAGGACCTGGTCAATGACCTGAAGAGAGCTGGGACCACAGTCTCAAAGAAAACCATTAGTAACACACTACGCGGTCATGGATTAAAATCCTGCAGCGCACGCAAGGTCCCCCTGCTCAAACCAGGGCATGTCCAGGCCCGTCTGAAGTTTGCCAATTACCATCTGGATGACCCAGAGGAGGAATGGGAGAAGGTCATGTGGTCTGATGAGACAAAAATAGAGCTTTTTGGTCTAAACTCCACTCGCCGTGTTTGGAGGAAGAAGAAGGATGAATACAATCCCAAGAACACCATCCCAACCGTGAAGCATGGAGGTGGAAACATAATTCTTTGGGGATGCTTTTCTGCAAAGGGGACAGGACAACTGCACCGTATTGAGGGGAGGATGGATGAGGCCATGTATCATGAGATCTTGGCCAACAACCTCCTTCCCTCAGTAAGAGCATTGAAGATGGGTCGTGGCTGAGTCTTCCAGCATGACAACGACCCCGAAACACACAGCCAGCGCAACTAAGGAGTGGCTCCGTAAGAAGCATCTCAAGGTCCTGGAGTGGCCTAGCCAGTCTCCAGACCTGAACCCAATAGAAAATCTTTGGAGGGAGCTGAAAGTCCGTATTGCCCAGCGACAGCCCCGAAACCTGAACTATCTGGAGAAGGTCTGTATGGAGGAGTGGGCCAAAATCCCTGCTGCAGTGTGTGCAAACCTGTTCAAGACCTACAGGAAACGTATGATCTCTGTAATTGCAAACAAAGGTTTCTGTACCAAATATTAAGTTCTGCTTTTCTGATGTATCAAATACTTATGTCATGCAATAAAATGCAAATTAATTACTTAAAAATCATACAATGTGATTTTCTGGATTTTTGTTTTAGATTCTGTCTTTCACAGTTGAAGTGTACCTATGATAACAATTACAGACCTCTACATGCTTTGTAAGTAGGAAAACCTGCAAAATCGGCAGTGTATCAAATACTTGTTCTCCCCACTGTAAATAAAGCTTGATTTGATCTACAGTTGGAGCATGGTTAGGATGTGGCCTTCAAGCCCCCCTCCCAGAGGTTTCTTCTCTCTTCAACTTTGTCCTCACCGCGATGTTTAACTCCACTTCTCTCCCTGCCCTAGTTCAAAAGATACTCGCCTGACCAGGAACTGAGACTCGACTGTGGCTCTTTACCTACTTCTTTAGAAATATTTATATACAGTGCCTCCAGAAAGTATTCAGAACCCTTGACTTTTTCCACATTTTGTTGTGTTACCGGCTGAATTTTAAATTGATTACATTGAGGTGTTTCACTGGCCTACACACAATACCCCATAATGTCCAAGTGGAATAATGTTTTTAGAAACTTTTATAAATTAATTAAAAATGAAAAGCTTTAATGTCTTGAGTCAATAAGTATTCAACACCTTAGTTATGGCAAGCATAAATAAGTTCAGGAGAAATGTTTTCCTTAAAACTGCAATATATGTAACTTTTTGGGAGACCTGACAAAATTCACATTGAAATGTAAGTTAGAGATCTGGCATTCTTATTGAAAGCAAGTCTAAGAAGTGTTAGATCTGTTCTATGTGCGCTATTTCTATGATCACGTTTCTAAGAGTCGTTTTTGCGTCTTTTACTTTCGGTTTTGTACACCAGCTTCAAACAGCTGAAAATACAATATTTTTGCTTATGGACAAGACATTTCACAGCTGTTTAGATGGTACAATGATTCTCTACACTATACTTGCTTGTTTTGTCATATAAAGTGAAATTAGGCAAACTATTAGAATTTTAGCAACCAGGAAATGGTGGAGCAATTTCTTCGTAGTGCATCTTTAAAAGTGGCACAATAAGTTGCATGGACTCACTCAGTGTGCAATAATAGTGTTTAACATGATTTTGGAATGACTACCGAATGTCTGTACCCCACACATCCAATTATCTGTAAGAGCCCTCAGTCGAGCAGTGAATTTCAAGCACAGATTCAACCACACAGACCAGGGAGGTTTTTCAATGCCTCGTAAAGAAGGGCACCTATTGGTAGATGGGTAAAGATATTGAATATCCCTTTGAGCATGGTGAAGTTATTAGTTACACTTTGGATGGTGTATCAATACACCCAGTCACTACAAAGATACAGGCGTCCTTCCTAACTTAGTTGCCGGAGAGGAAGGAAACCGCTCAGGGATTTCTCCATGAGGCCAATGGTGACTTTAAAACAGTTGCAGAGTTTAATGGTTGTGATAAGAGAAAACTGAGGATGGATCAACAACATCGTAGTTACTCCACAATACTAACCTACACTGAACAAAAATATAAACGCAACATACAACAATTTCAAAGATTTTACTGAGTTACAGTTAATATAAGGAAATTAGTCAATTGAAATAAATAAATGAAAGGTGAGCATTTGCCCACTGAAGTCGGTTACGACGCCAAACTGCAGTCAGGTCAAGACCCTGGTGAGGACGACGAGCACGCAAATGAGCTTCCCTGAGAATGTTTCTGACAGTTTGTGCAGAAATTCTTTGGTTGTGCAAACCCACAGTTTCATCAGCTGTCTGTGTGGCTGGTCTCGGACGATCCCGCAAGTGAAGAAGCCAGATGTGGAGGTCCTGGGCTGGCGTGGTTACACGTGGTCTGCAGTTGTGAGTCCAGTTGGACGTACAGCCAAATTCTCTAAAATGACTTAGGAAGCGGTTTATGGTATATAAATGGACATTCAATTATCTGGCAACATCTTTGGTGGACATTCCTGCAATCCGCATGCCAATTGCACGCTCCCTCAACTTGATACATCTGTGGCATTGAGTTATGAGAAAAAACAGCACATTTTACAGTGGCCTTTTATTGTCCCCAGTACAAGGTGCACCTGTGTAATGATCGTGCTGTTTTAATCAGCTTTTTGATATGCCACACCTGTCAGGTGGGTGGATTATCTTGGCAAAGGAGTCATGCTCACTAACAGGGATGTAAACAAATTTGTGCATAAAATGTGAGAGAAATAAGCTTTTTGTGCGAATGGAAAATTGATAGGATCTTTATTTCCGCTCATGAAACATGGGACCAACACTTTCCATGTTGTGTTTATATTTTTGTTCAGTATAAATGACAGAGTGAAAAGAAGGAAGCCTGTACAGAATAAAAAAGATCCAGAACATGCATCCAGTTTGCAATAAGGCACTAAAGTAAAACTGCAAAGAATGTGGCAATGAAATTAACTTTATGTCCTGAGTACAAAGCGTTATGTTTGGGGCAAATCCAACACAAAACATCACTGAGTATCACTCTTCATATTTTCAAGCATGTTGGTGGCTGTGTCATGTTAGGGCTGTGCTTGTCATCGGGAATATAGTTTTTTGGGATAAAAATAAACGGAATAGAGCTAAGCACAGGCAAAATCCTAGAGGAAAACCTGGTTGTCTGCTTACCAACAGACACTGGGAGACAAATTCACCTAACCTAAAACCCAAGGCCAAATATACACTGGAGTAGCTTACCAAGATGTCATGGAATGTTCCTGAGTGGCCTAGTTACAGTTTTGACTTCAATCGGTTTGAAAATCTATGGCAAAACTTGAAAATGGCTGTCTTGCAATGATCAACAACCAACTAGACAGAGCTTGAATAATTTTGTTAAGAATGTGCAGATATTGTACAGCCTATGGCCCAGATTCACAAAACACTTCTTACGCAAAAACTTAACAAGCTTCTTAACAAAAAAAATAAGAAGTTCATAAGATAGTTTGTAAGTGCAATTCCTCAACAATATCTTAAGATTTAAGGATTTTCTTACAAACTTCTCAAATATCTTCTTAATATGTTGCTAGGCAACCGTTTTTGCTAGCTATCTAGCTAGCAATGGCAATCATGTTAGCATATTTCTTACTGAGATTACTGTTCTAAAACATGTTCTTGGGTTTAAAATAATCAATACTGAAACTTTCAGATGAAGTTTGTGTGAATTGAACATGTTTAGTTGCTTTCATGAGCTTTTTCTCTCACTGCCCTGAGTTTAGCTATCTTGGAAGTAAGAACATTTCCAATAACTTTATTTTCAAGAATCTAATTTCTTCTTAACTTTTTGCTTAAGGAAAAACATAAGAAATATCGCAAGAACATTTTCGAGAACCTTTTTGAGGAATAGCAACTTTGCTTAACTTTCTTCTTAAGTCTATAGTTTAAGGAAAAAATGGCAGTTAAGAAGACATTTCTTCTTAAGAAGGTTTTGTGAATCTGGGCCCAGGTGTGCAAAGCTTTTAGGGACTTACCCACAAAGACTCACAGCTGTAATCGCTGCCAAAAGTGATTCTAGCATGTGTTGAATCAGGGGTGTGAAGGCTTATGTAAGTTAGATATTTCTCTATTTCATTTTCAATAAATTAGTATTTTTTTCTTCTAAAAACATGTTTTCACTTTGTCATTGTGGGGTATTGTGTGTAGACGGGTGCAGGAAAAAATCTATTTAATCAATTTTTAATTCAGGCTGTAACAAAATGTGAAAAGCAGTGCATCCGGAAACTATTCAGACCCCTTTTTCCACATTTTGTTACGTTACAGCCTTATTTTAAAATTGATTAAATTGTTTTTTTCCTCATCAATCTACACACAATACCCCATAATGACAAAGCATAAACAGGTTTTTAGAAATCTTTGCTAAAAAATACTGAAATATCACATTTACGTAAGTATTCAGACCCATTACTCAGTACTTTGTTGAAGCACCTTTAGCAGCGATTACAGCCTTGAGTCTTGGTTATGACGCTACAAGCTTGGCACACCTGTATTTGGGGAGTTTCTCCCATTGTTCTCTGCAGATCCTCTCAAGCTCTGTCAGGTTGAATGGGGAGTGTCGCTGCTCCAGAGATGTTCGATCGGGTTCAAGTCTGGGCTCTGGCTGGGCCACTCAAGGACATTCAGAGACTTGTCCCGAAGCCACTGCTGCCTTGTCTTGGCTGTGTGCTTAGGGTCGTTGTCCTGTTGGAAGGTGAACCTTCGCCCCAATAGGAGGTCCTGAGCGCTATGGAGCAGGTTTTCATCAAGGATCTCTCTGTACTTTGCTCTGTTCATCTTTCCCTCGATCCAGACTAGTCTCCCAGTCCCTGCCACTGAAAAACATCCCCACAGCATGATGCTGCCACCACCATGCTTCAACGTACGGATGGTGACACATTTCCTCCAGACGTGACCCTTGGCATTCAGGCCAAAGAGTTCAATCTTGGTTTCATCAGATCAGAGAATCTTGTTTCTCATGGTCTTGAGAGTCCTTTAGGTACCTTTTGGCAAACTCCAAGCGGGCTGTCATGTGGCTTTTTCTGAAGAGTGGCTACCATCTGGCCACTCTACCATAAAAGGCCTGATTGGTGGAGTGCTGCAGAGATGGTTGTCCTTCTGAAAGGTTCTCCCATTCCCACAGAGGAACTCTGGAGCTCTGTCAGAGTGACCATCAGGTTCTTGGTGACCTCCCTGACCAAGGCCCTTCTCCCCCGATTGCTCAGTTTTGCCGGGCGGCTGGCTCTAGGAAGAATCTTGGTGGTTCCAACCTTCTTCCATTCAAGAATGATGGAGGCCACTGTGTTCTTGGGGACCTTCAATGCTGCAGACATTTTTTGGTACCCTTCCCCGCATCTGTGCCTCGACACAATCCTGTCGCAGCTCTACGGACAATTCCTTCGAACTCATGGCTTGGTTTTTGCACTGACATGCATTGTCAACTGTGGGACCTTATCTAGACAGGTGTGTGCCTTTCCAAATCATGTCCCATCAATTGAATTTACCACAGGTGGACTCCAAGTTGTAGAAACATCTCAAAGATGATCAATGGGAAACAGGATGCACCTGAGCTCAATTTTGAGTCTCATAGCAAAGGGTCTGAATACTTATATAAATATGGGTTTTCTGTTTATTATTGTTTATAAATTTGCAAAAATTTCTACCAAGTTGTTTTCGCTTTGTCATTATGGGGTATTGTGTGTAGATTGATGAGGGAAAAATGTATTTAGTCCATTTTAGAATACGGCTGTAATGTAACAAAATGTGGAACAAGTCAAGGGGTCTGAATACTTTCCGAATGCACTGTATAAAACACAACCACATTTTTGACTGCAATTTCTTTAATGAACTTTAAAACTAAACATTTTCTCTCAACAGTCAAATCTCGCTTAGGGCCCCTAAAAGGCTAGAGGCGGCCCTGGCCTGGCCCTAGTGGTCATACATACATAATAGGACCTTTATTCTGTATTCTGAATTGACGTGGAATTTGATGATTCTTTCTTATCGTTTTAATGGAAAAACTATTTTTAAAATGTCAGTTTAACCCTTTAACTGGCACACAAATAAAAAAATATCAGAAAATGTATTTTTCGGCAAAATTTGTATGTATCCTCAGTATAGGCCATCAATTATTTTTGTTTTGTTTGCATGACTTAAACTTTGATAGATAATGCATCACAAACATCTCAACCAGCCGGTTGTTGCCCAATTAGCGTAAACTCGTTTTATATTGGAATTTGTATAGACTTTTTAAATAATCTCAAAAGTGATACATGCTTCATTTACTTACAATGGAAGTTAGGCAAAGTTAAATTAGGACTGATATCAAATATTAATAAAATGATACATTTGTGTCAAAATATGAATATTAGAATGCATGTAAATGAATGCGTTTACAGTTTATATGCTTAGAATAACAGTACAATTATATGTACTGAATGATATTGTGAAACATATTGAAGATAAGTCATACAGTGAATAATGATATGGATTTGAAAGGATTTTTGTATTTGCATAGATTTAAAAAATCCCATAATATTTCGCCATTGTCCATTACCACTAGCTTTGACTTAATAGCATTACTTTAATGGGCATCTCAACCGACTGGTAGAGGCATGTTTTTCAAGAGTTCCTAAAATTGTAAAACAACAACATATTAGTTATTTAATCATTCTGGTCAACCGCCCGGTTGAGCTGCCTGTTAAACGTTAAGCAAAATTGTCCATTTGTCACATCCCTAGTGTGTAACATGGTTTAGATCCATGCTTATGCATTCTATAAAAAAACATTTTTATTCTGTGTTGTCATAGGGCTGCGTGGATTGATAAGTGTCGGCCTGACATCCTCATCTCAGAGTCTACCTACGCCACCACCATCCGTGACTCAAAGAGGTGCAGGGAGAGGGACTTCCTGAAGAAAGTACATGAGACAGTGGAGAGAGGAGGAAAGGTGAGGACCACCACACAAGTTTCTTCCGTCCATATAGCTCATTCTGTCTCTCTAGAACTAGTGCCTAATGGAGGAAATGTTGTGCTCTCAGGTTCTGATTCCGGTCTTTGCCCTGGGAAGAGCTCAGGAACTGTGTATTCTATTGGAAACATTCTGGTAAGATTTTGATTCCGAGTCAATTTCCGAGTTCAATTAGCATTGTGATCCTAGTGTCCTTTTGATAAGATGGCATTAACTTTGTGTTGATTTGATGTTAGGCAATTCAGAGAATGATTTGACAGTAACACTCTCCTCTCCTTCCATAGGGAGCGGATGAACATGAAGGCTCCCATCTACTTCTCCACGGGGCTCACAGAGAAAGCCAATCACTACTACAAACTCTTCATCACCTGGACCAATCAGAAGATCAGAAAAACCTTTGTACAGAGAAACATGTTTGAGTTCAAACACATCAAGGCCTTTGATCGCTCCTACGCAGACAACCCTGGACCAATGGTGCAGAAACATCATCATATTTTTGCATGCTACTACCATAACATTACTTTACAGTTGCAACATGAATGTATAATTAGGCATTGATATGCTTTAGATACAGACATTTCCAATCATTTGTACATTATACAGTGGGGGAAAAAAGTATTTAGTCAGCCACCAGTTGTGCAAGTTCTCCCACTTAAAAAGATGAGAGAGGCCTGTAATTTTCATCATAGGTACACGTCAACTATGACAGACAAATTGAGAAAAGAAAATCCAGAAAATCACATTGTAGGATTTTTAATGAATTTATTTGCAAATTATGGTGGAAAATAAGTATTTGGTCACCTACAAACAAGCAAGATTTCTGGCTCTCACAGACCTGTAACTTCTTCTTTAAGAGGCTCCTCTGTCCTCCACTCGTTACCTGTATTAATGGCACCTGTTTGAACTTGTTATCAGTATAAAAGACACCTGTCCACAACCTCAAACAGTCACTCTCCAAACTCCACTATGGCCAAGACCAAAGAGCTGTCAAATGACACCAGAAACAAAATTGTAGACCTGCACCAGGCTGGGAAGACTGAATATGCAATAGGTAAGCAGCTTGGTTTGAAGAAATCAACTGTGGGAGCAATTATTAGGAAATGGAAGACATACAAGACCACTGATAATCTCCCTCGATCTGGGGCTCCACGCAAGATCTCACCCCGTGGGGTCAAAATGATCACAAGAACGGTGAGCAAAAATCCCAGAACACACGGGGGGACCTAGTGAATGACCTGCAGAGAGCTGGGACCAAAGTAACAAAGCCTACCATCAGTAACACACTACGCCGCCAGGGACTCAAATCCTGCAGTGCCAGACGTGTCCCCCTGCTTAAGCCAGTACATGTCCAGGCCCGTCTGAAGTTTGCTAGAGTGCATTTGGATGATCCAGAAGAGGATTGGGAGAATGTCATATGGTCAGATGAAACCAAAATATAACTTTTTGGTAAAAACTCAACTCGACGTGTTTGGAGGACAAAGAATGCTGAGTTGCATCCAAAGAACACCATACCTACTGTGAAGCATGGGGGTGGAAACATCATGCTTTGGGGCTGTTTTTCTGCAAAGGGACCAGGACGACTGATCCGTGTAAAGGAAAGAATGAATGGGGCCATGTATCGTGAGATTTTGAGTGAAAACCTCCTTCCATCAGCAAGGGCATTGAAGATGAAACGTGGCTGGGTCTTTCAGCATGACAATGATCCCAAACACGCCGCCCGGGCAACGAAGGAGTGGCTTCGTAAGAAGCATTTCAAGGTCCTGGAGTGGCCTAGCCAGTCTCCAGATCTCAACCCCATAGAAAATCTTTGGAGGGAGTTGAAAGTCTGTGTTGCCCAGCGACAGCCCCAAAACATCACTGCTCTAGAGGAGATCTGCATGGAGGAATGGGCCAAAATAGCAGCAACAGTGTGTGAAAACCTTGTGAAGACTTACAGAAAACGTTTGACCTGTGTCATTGCCAACAAAGGGTATATAACAAAGTATTGAGAAACTTTTGTTATTGACCAAATACTTATTTTCCACCATAATTTGCAAATAAATTCATTAAAAATCCTACAATGTGATTTTTTGGATTTTTTTTTCTCATTTTGTCTGTCATAGTTGACGTGTACCTATGATGAAAGTTACAGGCCTCTCATCTTTTTAAGTGGGAGAACTTGCACAATTGGTGGCTGACTAAATACTTTTTTCCCCCACTGTAGATACTATTCTTCTTACCCCAGTGAATATTCTACATAGTCACTGTAGACCCGTTATTATTAGGTTTACCCATTTTTTTTACCTTTATTTAACTAGGCAAGTCAGTTAAGAATAAATTCTTATTTACAATGACGGCCTACACCGGCCAAACCCGGACAACGCTGGGCCAATTGTGCGCCGCCCTATGGGACTCCCAATCACAGCCGGTTGTGATACAGCCTGGAATCGAGCCAGGGGGTCTGTAGTGACGCCTCAAGCACTGAGATGCAGTGCCTTAGACCACTGCGCCACTCGGGAGCCCATGAAATTGGGTTGGAACAGATAGTGTGCTACTTTCTTGAATTGTATATTTTTTATATTTTTATAAATTCAATTATTGAAATATCACTACTGAAAAGTGTGTGTGTTCCCTCAGGTGGTGTTTGCCACCCCAGGAATGTTGCATGCTGGTCAGTCTCTACAGATATTCAAGAAGTGGGCTGGCAACGAGAAGAATATGGTGAGTCCCATTTAAGATCTATACCGTAAAACTTCAATTAAATGGCATGTCTCAAATAGCCGCTGGGTCTAAATGAATTGTTTACGAGGTTATCATGAATTACCATGAATTGTTTACAAGGTTTAATGTTTGATTTGTTACATTAAAGGTGCACTATGCAGAAATCACGCTGCCTTTTCCTGTTTGCAAAAATTCTAATAGTTCGCATAATTTCATTTTGTGACAAAATAAGCAAGTATAGTGTAGAGAATCATTGTAACATCTAAACCGGTGTGAAATATATTTTCCATAACCAAAAATATTGTATTTTTAGCTGTTTGAAGCTGGTGTACAAAACCGAAAGTAAAAGACAAAAAAAAAAAGAACGGGAAGCATAGAAGTGCGCACATAGAACAGATCTACCGCTTCTTAGACTTGCTTTCAATGACAGTGACAGATCTATAACTAACTGGCAAGCACAAAAAGTCAATTTCTGGAGGACAGACCCCCAGAAATTGGCCAATCACCCTCTACTGGCGAAAGTAAGAACTGCCAAAAAATGCACAGTCAAAGAGGAGAATAATTATTCTGTGAAGGAAAAGGGTTTTTTATTTGATTGATTTTTTAGGCATACTAAGACAAACATGACAAAGTGTGTAAATAAGAATACATAAGTGCAGGATATCAAGAAATTGATTAAAATGCTGGAAGTGAATGCTGGAATTAAACAAATTACTATGCAAATTAGCAAAAGCTGTGTGCATTAAGGAAATAGACACCTGGCTCAAATAGAAGCCTGTCTCTAGTAAGTGCCTGCTGTGTTCAGTGATTTAAGCAAATAAATGCCTGGGCTATTAATTGAAGTTTTACGGTAGATTACAGAGCTATTTTTGCGAAGTTGGGGAGAAAAACAATTCTACTTTTCATTTTCTGTTTATCAGATCATCATGCCTGGGTATTGTGTACAAGGCACCATCGGACACAAGATCCTGAATGGTCAAAAGAAACTGGAGATGGAAAATAGACAAACGGTAATGCAAGATGAGATTGTATTTAACTTTATGTATCATCATGATGTTACTGCAGTAATAGATATCAAATGGATACATTGAAATTGAGATCAGTGAGCCAACCTGCTGAGGTTTGTCTGGTAACCCTTGACCTTGTCCTCTGTCTGTGACCCCTGCAGTTGGAGGTGAAGCTGCAGGTGGAGTACATGTCGTTCAGCGCCCATGCAGACGCTAAGGGCATCATGCAGCTCATCCGCATGGCAGAGCCTCGCAACATGCTGCTGGTGCACGGAGAGGCCAAGAAGATGGAGTTCCTCAAGGACAAGATTGAGCAGGAGTTCAGTGAGTGACACCAGTATGTCCTTGTAACCATATCTGTTTCAAGAATGTTAGGGCTTCAGAGAAAAGGATTTAGAATTGCAGTATGTGCCACATGTTTGAGGAGCACTGGGTAGTATTTAGTAGTAGGGCACAGCAAAATGTTTTGCAACAGAAAACAACAGTCTTCTTATTAGACAAGCTCACGTTCCACCTCCCTCGTTTCATTCCATTTGAAAACGTTTTTTCCCCACTGAACACAGCCCTGGTATTATCCCTCATCAGTCATTCTATGTGTGTTTGAATGACAGGCATCAACTGCTTCATGCCAGCCAACGGTGAGACGACCACTGTGATCACCAACCCCAGTGTCCCAGTGGACATCTCACTCAACCTGCTCAAGAGAGAGATGGCCCTTGGAGGTATTTTTCAGTACACCTGAGTGAGTCTCGATCTATATCACTCTCAGTTAATGTGTGTGTTATTCTGTGTGAATTTTCACAGGCCCCTTACCTGACCCGAAGAAGCCTCGTACCATGCATGGGACCCTGATCATGAAGGATAATGTAAGTTCTGAATTCCATCAACTGCCATGCATACAAAATATACATATTCTGCTTTCTCTATTGTTTATGATATAAAACATAAAACCATGACCTTGCCTTGCTAATTTAGAGGTTAGTAACAACGCGCATGCCCCGTCCACCTGAGGATCTGTCATTTTCAGCCATCTATTTCCTGTGTTTGAGGGGTGCAGAATCCACTTGTTAGTTAAATCCCGCAGGATTGATTGCTTTGATTTCACTCCTGCGACTCTATTGTATTCTTGCGTCTGCCTTTCGTGTTTTCCCGTTAACGTTACGACCGCGGAAATGTTTGTAATGACCTGTCAAACACACCCCGTTAATGGCTGAAATGGGCCTCAATGAGATACATTGGCTTTCCATTGAATCTATAAGAACGCTAAAGCTTCGTCTGGGATTTAATGCACCGTCTCGACACTTACATCACAAGAAAGAAGAAAGATAACTTTATTTTGATGGGTGTACATGTTTTGTGGAATTGAAAAAAGTAATTTAATACAGTTGACAATTTTTCTAATTAGATGCGCTGAAATGAAAGCAACGTCCGAAAATGAACACTTGCATCACACCCGTCGCTATGGGCGGGCCAGAGGGGGCCGGGCCCGCCCCCAAAAATGCTTCCCCCCCCCCCCCACTTGAGGGAATTTATTATTAAATATACGTACTGTAGGCTAATAATAATTGTGCCCTGCCCTCCCATGCATTTCATATGCCCCCCTTAAGACTGAGGTCTGGCGACAGGTCTGACTTGCATAATAGTGAAATTATGTCTGATCTCGCAAACAATGTAAAATATGTTTAGATAGGTGTAAACTAGAGCCAAGTGTGTTGATTTTTAATCCGAGGGTATCCTGTTATTGACACACATGTTGAATTATGCAAGAGAATGTGACAACAACAGTAATTAATGAGGCAGGCTAGCCCGCGCATGCGAGTGCAGGTAGTGTAGACAGAGCAAATGTTTGGTGGTTGCAGCCCTGTTCCTCCCCTTTATGTTAATTTTTTCATATATGCAAGTACACCCAGTGTATTTATTCAGATGTGGCACAAATGTCCTAATTTTAACACACATAAAAAAAATTGCTGATAAAATAAGAAAATGTATACAAAAAAATAAGTGACATTTGACATTGAAATGAATACCGGAATTCCCACCAAAATCACTGAACTCCATTCATTATTTGTCCTTACCGGTAAAATGTTTTATGTGCTATAATTCAGTCGATATCTGATAGATGACAAAAATTTAAAAAGTTTGGAGTATCTTCATGCATTTTCCAAGAATGTTGCATTTATTAGAATTGTTTTTAAAACCTTAACAATTTCGATGATCGTTCCTAATGTTTGTAATTCAGGATGTTTTATTCTCTGCCTTTGGCCTTGCCAGTTTTGACCTCTTGTTGCCCTTGCTTCACTTCTCCCCCATTTGTTCCCCTGCTCTCTCTGGGTGTAGAGTCTTCGGCTGGTCTCTCCAGAGCAGGCTCTCAAGGAGCTGGGCCTCAACGAGCACCAGCTCCGCTTCACCTGCCGAGTGCAGCTCCAGGACTCACACAGTGACTCCGACACCCTCATCAGGATCTACACACACCTCAAGAGGTAAAGTAAGACAAAGTTGACCATTTTTATTGTGCTTTCAAGTTCTTATTTGGGCAAAGCTTGGGCATACAATATACATGTATCACAAAAAAAGAGTTACAGTAAGAAGACTAATGTCAATGATTCATTCTCCCCTTTCGCTCTGTATTGTCTCTGTTCTAGTCTACTGAAAGGTTATACCATCCAGCACCTCCCAGACGGGACTGTCATGGTGGAGTCCATTGTGATCAAGGTGTCCTCCTCAGCTGAAGAGCCCAACACCAAGGTGCTGCTGCTCTCCTGGAGCTATCAGGTAAGGAGGACGGGTGTTGAAAATAAGTGTGAGCTATTGTGACAGACCACAGTGTCTACTTAGCACTATAGCTTCCTCCCTGTCTGGGTACACTGTCCGTACATGGCTTGAACCAGGGTCCTCTGCATCGCAAACACACGTGACCGTCCGTTCGACAACGTACTAGCCAGTTGCGCCACTGAAAAGCTAGCAATTCAGCAATGTGAGTGGAAACAGTTCAAGTTTTGGAGGGTGCTTACAGTACTATCTGAACCCTGTTGCACTATACACATTAGGGCTCCTTGCAACGGATGGAGAGTACAGCCCACAAACTTAAAGAGTCCTGTGGTTTCTAAACTTTGCTTCTTGACTCACCATCGCCATATCCTGTGACGCACTTCTATTTATCTGACCAAAAACATCTAGCTATAGTAGTGCATGTAGCGACCACAAGCCATAACCTTTCCGTATCTAACACTTTTTAGATAAACACTGTAAAATGTCAATGATATGATATGATATGATCGAAATACAATTTAAGTTAGTATGTTTCATGATAGAGCAGATTTACTAATCACAACTCAAACTACTCCATCACATTCTCAGATGTTCTGAGGTTTATTTCAATCCAAATGCTGTCAACCTTGTGTTATTTGTAGGATGAAGATCTGGGGAGCTTTCTGTCTACTCTGCTGAAGAAAGGACTTCCATCAGGATTGTCTTCAATATGATCCCATTGTTCAGTGTAGCTTTCTGTAAAGGTTAATCTGTCTGTTGTACAAAGCTGATTTGAATACATTGTTTTTTTATAAATAAAAGAAGATTCTTGAAACCTCATTTGTTATGTTGTATTAATATAATTCATGTTACTACATTACCTATCAATAGTCAAATGACAGTACATTTTCATGATGTGTTTTTAAAAAGGGAAGATGTAAAAGCAATATAAAAACATTCTGCAATGGTGTACATATATGTATGCAAAGGTTGGTGGTTTATGATGGCAAAAAATTGCTTCACCAATTGGCTTCAGAGTTTGTGAGCAGAATATAAAAAGCAGACAATTACATCAGCTGATAGGATACAGTTGGAACAGGTTTATCCAAACCACTCACTGTCCCACAGCGATGGTGTAGACCTCCCTATTAATCCCGGCCCACATCCATCTGAACCTGGCCATGGAGGGACTCCACTTACAGTGACTAGTGGTGAAGTAGTAGAGCAGGGGGTCCAGACAGCTGTTGAGGCTGACCAGAGCCAGGGTCACACGCCGGGCATTGTAGATGGCATTGGCATAGGGACAGTGATGGATGGCCCCTCGACGGCGGAGCAGGTGCAGGAAGTGAACCACATGGTATGGCAGGAAGCAGAGCAGGGTGATAGCCAGGATGGTGTAGATGACCCTCAGGGCTCCACGGGCCGTGTTGGTCCGGATGAGAGCGATGCGCCGTGCCACCAGAGGGTAACACACCAGGATGACCACAGAGGGCAGTAGTGAGCCGAAGATGAGACTGAATAAGCTGTACGGCGCCACACGCCTGTCCCACTCGTGCTGGGAGAAGTTCTCAAAGCAGCTACGGCGCTGGCGGGGACCTCCTTCAGGTTTGCTGTCCAGAGGTCCCAATAGGATGAAGGACAGAACAGCCACCCCCGCCACCACCCACACGGCCACACTCACCACTACAGTATAACACGAGTTCCGGAGCCTCAGATAGATGTGAGGATGGGTGACGGCCACGTATCGATCCACACAGATACAGGTCATGAAGGTGATGCTGATGTAGATGTTGGCGAAGAACAGTGTTCCTGTAATGCGGCAAGCCATGTCTCCGAATACCCAGTCGTTTCTGTTGAGGTAGTAGTGGATCTTGAAGGGCAGGGTGCAGAGGATGGCAGTGTCGGCTAGGGCCAGGTTGATCACGTACACGTTAGAGGAGGTGCGGGGAGTGATCTTGAAGATGAACACGTAGAGGGCTCCCACGTTGCCTGGCAGGCCCACTGCCATCACCAGACTGTAGACGGCTGGGAAGAGGTAGAACTGGTAGTCTTCTGTGGTACTGCAGTTGCCAGGTAAATCTCCAACAGATGTATTCATCGTTGCAGGTCTGGTTATCAAAATGAGCTTGTAGGTGACAGAGCCAGTGGGATAGTTTACTTCTGCTTTCCCTTGCTGATAATGGAACCTATAGTGAAAGTGTTCACAGTCAGATATTATCACGGTTGCTGTTTTACAGAAGAGATTTCTCATATCCTATCCTCTGCTTACTTGACATATCATGCCGTAATTCGCCAATACAATCATAGCTTCCATTGTAAAATATGTTTAAAGAAAAAAGTACTTGCGTTTCTGAAGAACACTCGCTGGATCCACAAATTCACCAAAAAAGAGTCAACAAATTATTACACAGTAGGCTACTTCACATGAGCACTAATCAAATGCATTTCCCCCACACCTTCATATGAGCTTGGTGTCATGGGCTTGGAAATGTCTCTGTGACCTCTGTAGTGTGAGTGGGTGGTGTTCAGTGCTATATCAAACTACACAGGAAACCTTCAGTGCATGCACTGTGCTTATAAATGTGTGGGTTATATCAGAGTTGTTGCCTTGTTATTTTTAGTTGAAGGTGTTAGACACATAATTAATAACAGTACAGGACTAGCTGTCAACACAAGCAAGCCATGTCATTGCCAAAAGGTCAGTTTAAGATTGAATAGTAAGTCATTTATAAAGTAAGTCAATCTTCTACTTAACTTGCATGCTACTGATGATAGTTTCTTGGATCCTTGATACTTCACTGGGGGTTGTGTCCTCACTAAATTATGCTAAACTTGTCAAATTGGCGGCATTTTATATGATGCTATTCTGGGTGTCTTGACTCTTCTTCAACACTGGTGGGCGCTTAACACAAATCAAATGTCCTTTACTGCTGGTCATTACATTGTCTGCAGCACAGCAACAAGCCATATCGACTGATAGTGAAGCAAAATTCAAAAGCATAATTATTGAAAGGGATTTGGTCCATATATTTGCTGTGAGGGCTTTATGGCTGTGTTGATGTACTGATGCTTATCTGTTATTCAAATATTTAATCCAAAATATAATTATTTTGTTCATTATTTTGAGTTATTCTCTAAAATAATGCTAAATTATACACAATGAAATGCAATGTATATCATCATCATGGAATATCCAGAAATACTTATCTTTCATCCTCTTGGATGGCTGGAATGTTACTGAAATCCAATATTGATTTGTACTGTAAGGGTTGTTCAAAGAGAATAATCGGGTACTGTTCATGTTGTGGACTATTCCTGAAAACCTTAGACAAACGTTTTGGACCTGGTCATAAGAACAGATGGGAAACCCCCTCCATCACCACCAGGGAGAATCCAACACAGCCAGAGTCAGTTGGACACAGGCAGCCATCACAGGCCAGATGTACTGTAGTCTACCTGGCCATACACAGCATGATGGATGGCTGACACACACAGTCACACTCACAATGGACGGCTGATAAGTCACAGAATCAGGTTCGATGATGGCTAGAGCCAGGAAGTAGGTCTCTCTCTCATCCTACCCTCTCTCTCCAGCCCGCCCCCTCTCTGCTGTGCCATCGCCTAGCAACGCTGCTGCTGTACTCACCAGTCTTTCACAACATCCCCAAGAGGAGCACTGCCTCTATCAGTGTCAGACACATTTTACCACAGCCATGAGACACGAGGGCTAAGATATATATTGTGTAGCTGCTCATTTGATGGCAACTCCATACACTTAAATTTCCCAAGAGGTGTATATGTCTAAAGTAGCCCATGTGAGGGTTTAATAGTTAATCAGTGTGAAAAGTGGGTTGAGAGCTGATAAGTAGTGTTTACTATGGAATTTCTGCGTTCAGATGAGGGTCAGAAACCATACATATTTACTGATGGTGTGAGGAGACAATCATTGGGGAGAGACACAAAGTGTGTGCGTGCTTTCAGAAAGTATTCACACCCCTTGACTTTTTCCACATTTTGTTGTGTTACAGCCTGAATTTAAAATTCATTAAATTGAGATTTTTTTGGTCACTGGCCTACACACAATCCCAATAATGTCAAGTGGAATTATGTTCAAATTATTGTATTTTATTTTATTTTGAAAATGAATTAAAAATGAAACGCTGAAATGTCTTGAGTCAATAAGTATTCAAAATATGTAAAACTGTGCTTAACAAGTCACATAATGAGTTGCAAGGACTCACTCTGTGTGCAATAACAGTGTTTAACATTATTATTTTTATGTTTACCTCATCTCTGTACCCCACACATAAAATTATCTGTAGGATCCCTCAGTCAAGCAGTGAATTTCAAACACAGATTCAACCACAAAGACCAGGGAGGTTTTCAATGCCTTACAAAGAAGGGCAAAAAAACTAAAAAAGCAGACATTAAATATCCCTTTGATCATGGTGAAGTTATTAATTACACTTTTGATTAATCAACACACCCAGTCACTAGAAAGATACAAGTCGTCCTTCCTAACTCAGGTGCCGGAGAGGAAGGAAACCGCTCAGGAAATTTTACCATGAGGCCAATGATGACTTTAAAACAGCTACATAGTTTAATGGCTGTGTTAGGACAAAACTGAGAATGAATCAACAACATTGTAGTTACTCCACAATACTAACCTAAATGATGGAGTGAAAAGAAGGACGCCTGTACACAATAAAACATTTCCAAAACATGCATCCTGTTTGGAACAAGGCACTAAAGTAATACTGCAAAACATTTGGCAATCAATTAACTTTTTGTCCTGAACACAAAGTGTTATGTTTGGTGCAAATCCAATACAACACATTACTGAGTACCACTCTTCATATTTTCAGGCATAGTGGTGGCTGCATCATGTTATGGGTATGCTTGTAATCGTTAAGGACTGGGGAGTTTTTCAGGATAAAAAATAAACGGAATGGAGCTAAGCAGAAGCAAAATCCTAGAGGGAAAACCTGGTTCAGTCTGCTTTCCACCAGACACTGGGAGATTAATTCACCTTTCAGAAGGACAATAACCTAAAACACAAGGCCAAATCTACATTGGGGTTGATAACCAAGAAGACAGCGAATGTTCCTGAGTGGCCGAGTTACAGTTTTTACTTAAATCTACTTAAGAATCTATGGCAAGACCTGAAAATGGTTGTCTAGCAATGATCAACAACCAATTTGACAGAGCTTGAAGAATTTTGAAAAGAATAATGGGCAAATGTTTCACAATCCAGGTGTGGAAAGCTCTTAGAAACTTACCCAGAAAGACTCACAGCTGTAATCGCAGCCAAAGGTTCTTCTACGAAGTATTTACTTATGTAAATTAGATATTTCTGTATTTAATTTTCACAAATAAAAACAACAACCTAAAAACATGTTTTCACTTTGTCATTATGGTGTATTGTGTGTAGATGGGCGAGAAAAAAAATACATTTAATCCATTTTGAATTTTGGCTGTAACACAACAAAATGTGGAATTGTTATCTAGCTTCCTCAATAAGTGCATCGACGATGTCGTCCCCACAGTGACCGTACGTACATATCCCAACCATAAGCCATGGATTACAGGCAACATCCACACCGAGCTAAAGGCTAGAGCTGCCGCTTTCAAGGAGCGGGACACTATTCCGGACGCTTATAAGAAATCCCACTATGCCCTCAGATGAACCATCAAACAGGCAAAGCATCAATATAGGACTTAGATTGACTCCTACTACACTGGCTCTGATGCTCGTCGGATGTGGCAGGGCTTGCAAACTATTACGGACTACAAAGGGAAACCCAACCGCGAACTGCCCAGTGACGCAAGCCTACCAGACGGGCTAAATGCCTTTTATGCTCGCTTCGAGGCAAGCAACACTGAAGCATGCATGAGAGCGCCAGCTGTTCTGGACAACTGCGTGACCACATTCTCCGTAGCCGATGTGAGCATGACCTTTAAACAGGTCAACATTCACAAGGCTGCGGGGCCAGACGGATTACAAGGACGTGTACTCAGAGCATGCGCAGACCAACTGGCAAGTGTCTTCACTGACATGTTCAACCTCTCCCTGACCGAGTCTGTAATACCTACATGTTTCAAGCAGACCACCATAGTCCTTTTTCCCAAGAAAGTGAAGGTAACCTGCCTAAAAAAGTACCGCCCCGTGGCACTCACGTCGGTAGCCATGAAGTGCTTTGAAAGGCTGGTCATGGCTCACATCAACACCATCATCCCGGAAACCCTAGACCCACTCCAATTTGCATACCGCCCCAACAGATCCACAGATGACGCAATCTCTATTGCACTCCACACTGTCCTTTCCACCTGGACAAAAGGAACACCTATATGAGAATGCTGTTCATTGACTACAGCTCAGCGTTCAATACCATAGTGCCCACAAAGCTCATCACTAAGCTAAGGACCCTGGGAATAAACACCTCCCTCTGCAACTAGACCCTGGTC